TGCTGCGGTTTTTTCTGCACTGACCCATGCAAGGGGTGCAAAGGCCCCTTGTTTTCCCAATACTATTGCACAGTGGGCTAGCCTGTGGCTGAATGACTCCCTGTTTTTGCCAGCAGATTTTTAGCTGAATTGAATTCACCTGGATCAGAGGATGTTGACAGTGCATGCAAGCAGGTACCGACACTGCTACAGGCCTGGGCTCAGCTGGTTGCAGAGGCCAGGCTGGGCGCCGGCGCGATGCCAGCGTGGAGACTGTGCTCAGCTGCCTGCCTGTCAGCGTTGCCAGCAAACCTCCACGGCTCGGTGTGCCCACGAGGACAGAGCAACTGCTGACTTGGGTTTCACTTCCCTGGGAAGGCAGGAGGGGGCCGGACTGTACATCATTAGGTCTTGGCACATGAAAGGTTAAAAGCTTTTTTAGCATCTTTGCACCTGTGAAGAGGGAAACCAGCCATAGCAATGTGATAATGAATTGCACCGAGTGCAGAGTGATTTGTATGCCATGGCAGCATGTCTAATCCATAAATCTAGAGCCTGCATGTCTTGGCTGCTCCTGGCTCAGAAAGGCGCGTGTCACAGATGCTTTCCTGCTCCGCTGGCCTGTTGAGGACCTGCTGCGCTGCTGCTGAAGGGAGAGCTGGCTTTCCCTCCGAAGGGAGGGACTGTCCAAGGCTGCTCGGTGATCTCAAAGAGGAAATGGTGGTGTTCGGAGCTTGTGAAATATGGCAAAGACAAATGCAAGCTATTAGGTTTCTTTGCAAATCCCTTCTTAGTATCAAGGCCAGTCCAACACCTGGAGGTGCAGGGGTGGGCTGCCGGGCCTGCTGGCAGGCTGCTGCATAACCAAAGGTTTAGGGTGCTTCCAAGCAGCTCCTGTCTTTGAAAGATACTGGGGTAAAAAACCCTGAGAAACTAAATCCAGCTGTGTTTGCAGCCTCAGTGACAGAGCTCCAAACCTGAGATGTTTAAAAAGCAGGTCAGCACCAGCTAAGCAAAGGACCAAATGGCTGTCAGTGACACTAGGGAAGGCACACTGGCTCTTCCTTTTCTCAAGAGCTCTGTCTTTCAGGTATCTGTATGGTGACTTTTGTACAGTTTGCAAAGTAAAAGAAGCACTGAAAGCAAAGTAAGCTGATTTCAGAGCCGAGAGAATTTTAGCCAAAAACCTGCAGAGAAGTAAGTTTTCTGTCCCTGCTTCTTATGACGCCAGTGTTTGTGTTTTGCCTCTGGATGGCTGCAGGCACTTGCTAACAAAGTGGCGGGGTTCATGTAACTCCTAGGAGCCTACTGCTGTTGGTTTAAATAGATTCTCATGGCTTCTGCATGCTCATTTGTTGGGTGAAAGTGTTCTTTGTATGTATAAATCCAGGAACTTGTTATCATCCATTGCTATGCTTGGTCATGGAGACAGACTGATTCTGTGCAACGATCAGAGGTTAAGCAGTGCTTGGAGATCTTATGGAAGACAGTCCCATAGCGCATGGCATTTCCCTGTCTCATGTAGTCTACAGCCGAATGCACTGTGTATTCCCAAGTGGGAACATTCAGTAGATGCCCTGGTGGCAGCCTGATATGGGATGTGTTGGGTTGCTTACAAATTGCAAAAGGCTTTTTTCATGGTCATTGATGTGAGACTACCTGGTCATCTTCAAACTGCTGTTTTCCCTTCATGACTGAAGTATGCAGGGCATCCCAGAGAGAGTGCCAAGAGAAGCAGAGTGTTGATCCCACATCAGGGGACATCTTGTCTGTCCTAGGATATACAGTAGAAGAACTACTAAAAAAAAAAAAGCCATTTCTAATATGTACACACCTGAAAACTGAGGCTTCTTCAGGTGCCTGAGCCCAGTTTTGAAGGGCTTTAATGGAGAGTACCTGGTCTAATTTAACAGGTTTCATGTATGATAAGTCATCTTGGATAAATGCCTTAAAGCAGCAGCTAGCAGTGTTAAGGTTTGTGTTTTGCAGATAATATGTGCACACATACTGTATGCCTAGATAAAGATATATATTCCCTGCAAGGACAGAATATAGCACTGCTAGAGGGCAGAAAAGATTTAAGTGATTTTAGTCCAAAAAACCCCAAATTGCCCTCTTAAATACACGAGTCATTTTCTCATTTCTTTAACGTGCCTCATGCACTCCGCCTGCTCTGAAGTGTTTGTAGTTATTGGGAACAGAATATGCCAGGAGGTATTTCTTTGTATTTCCATACAAGAGGATTAACCTGAGAGTTATGAAACTGAAATGCCAAGAATGCCCTCTGTGGATAACTAATGGTTTAGGAAGCATAACGTTCATCTGATGTCCTTATCTGTAACATGAGGCGATTACTTCTGACCTGCCTTGTCAAAGTTGTTTGATGCCATACAAGTATCACTGGTTTTCTGCAAGGAAATAGAATTTTGCTTATTGACTAAATTACCATCTGTAGAACTTTTATCCATGTTGACTTGTAATCTGGCTTTGCTCGGAAGAGGGCAGCAAATGGTTTTTTATCTTGTTGTTGCTCTTACTGGTAAAGTCAACCTGAGATGCGGGCCTGGGAGAGGGTGAAGGCAGCTATGGTGGGTGCCTGCCCGAACTGACTGATAATGCTACTCCAGACTTAGTGGTCCAAGTGGCAGATGCTGCTTTTCTTTCCATTACTAAAAGTTTAAACAGGGCCTTCCCTGTTGGCACCCCAAAACATCAAACCTAAAGCTGAGAAAGAGGACTGTGGGCATTTTATTGCTATGGCAGTGGTCGAAAAAATGCTAGTTCTCTGTGAGGTGTTTAGTCTGGTGGGTTTTGGAGGGCTGATATCTGCCTGTTGGTGGGTGGGGAAAATTTGTGCTTCATTTTAACATCGTATCTCTCGGTGACTGCAGAGGAAGCTCTGCCTCTTGGGACCAGCTCTCCAGAAAGAGCCCTGCAGACCCTTTGCAGCCTCACAAACCTCTGTCTCCCTTTCCTTGTTCAGCCTGAGATGTCTTCTCGGACAGTTCTTGGTAAACATCTTCCCAGGTTTGAAACTGAGCTGGAGCT